GCTGTGTAGTGTGAGAAAAGAATGTGGTAGTACATGTTTGTTGTTTGTTTTTCCTTTTTTTATACCATAGTGTTTGTTTTATATGAAATGTAGGATAAATCATACCACACATTAGGATACTTACTAAAACTATTTTGATCATATTTTAAAGGTACACACAAATTGGTCCACACAAACAAAACCATTGTTTCTACTAGGAGATAAATGTGGTTGTCTTTAAATCACAAAAGTAATTGATGGCTGCTTCCAAGTGCAGTACATTTTCTTAAGCTTACTTGTAGAAGCGTTGACACCCAGGAAATACTTGTTATAGGCTGGATTCATTTTGCTATAACAAGTAACACGTGAAGTCAGTCTGTCCAGATGGAAAATGTAATGATATTCATTAAGGAAGTTATTAAAACGCTAGGATCTAAATAACCACCTTCTAACATTTGTTTCAGAGCTATGTGATGACAGCAAGAGAGAGCAATGATTTAAGCACCATTGCAGACAGTTTGAGTGAAAAATTGAGAATCCACAAAACAGGCTTAATCTACAGAAGCTCAACCCAGGATAGAGAGTTTGAACAGGGCCTGTACCAATATCTTTAATTGAAGAATAAGCATATATGTGTTTCTACACCTTCTTTGTTCAGTTTCCATTTAGGGTATTCTTGAATAATGTTTTCAGTAACCTGAGTAGCTGCAGATCAAGTACCAGCTTTGTACAAGCCCTTGTGCTGATAGTAGTATCGCGGGCAGCACTCTTTGTCCTAGAAATGGCCTTGGCAAAAGAGGAAATTTACAAATAGTCTCCACTTTAGATGTTAGAGTTTTGACTTCCTTAGAATTCTAGGCCTAAAGCATGGACCCTAGAAAACACATTAAAAGTTTCAATAAGTACTTCTTTGTTGTGTCTATATATCAGCACCAATGATCCTTATTAGAGAAAATATTGTATATAGGGCTGAGGAGATGCCTCAGTGGTTAACAGTGTATACTTCTCTTGCAGAGGATCTGAGTTCAGTTGTCAGCATCCATATTAGGCTGCTCACAACCACATGTAACTCCAGGTCCAGGGAATTCAGTTTCTCTGTGCATCTTCATATCCTTTCTTCCATCACTTCATAAGCATCTCAAGAAACCCGTAATTCACATGTGGATTAACCCCCTTTGAGAAAGGGGCTCAGAAAAATTCCATTAGCCAGAGCAAGTGTGGTGTCAGGTGAAGACCAGAGTGCTGAAGTTATCAAGGTCTGCTTCACTGGGGCTAAGGAGATGGATTGGTGGTTAAGAGCACTTGGTGCCCATGCAGAGGACCTGGGGTTCAGTTCCTAGCACCTGGTCTCCACAGAAACTTAGCTGCAGTGTGCACATACCCACATGTGTGCACATACACATACATACATAATTAAAGATAAAAGTAAATATTTAAAAAGAAAAAAGAGAAAATATTGCATCTAACAACTTTCATTGTAGCTCTTTTCTCAGTATCATCAGAAACCATCGTAAAATAAAATTGTGGAAATAGTTGACCTTCCTGCTTTGCTTAAAGAATCTTTTTGTAAAGATTTATGATGTATGTATTGTAATGTTCTGTCTGCATGAATGCCTACTGGCCAGAAGAGGGCACCATATCTCATTACAAATGGTTGTGAGCCACCATGTGGTTGCTGGGTATTGAACTCTCTACTTCTGGAAGAGAGCCAGTGCTCTTAACTGCTGAGTCATCTCTTCAGCCTTACAGATTCTTTTGATTCTACTTTTACCACTGAATAAAGCTACTCTGGCAGAGACAAGTAGGAATGTAGAAAAAAAATGGTTGCTTAAATTGATTTGGGAGATCCAGAGATCAGTACTAAAATGGTTATTTTTCAAAAATTTGTTTTTATGTATATATGTGTGCATGCCTGTTTGTGTATATACATGTGCCCACAGTGCCAGAAGCAGGACATTGGATCCCTTGGAACTGGAATTATACAGACAGTTGTGAGCCACCATGTGGGTGCTCAGAACTGAACCCCAGGTCCTCTGTATGTGCACCAGTGCTCTTAACCACCGATCCATCTCCTTAGCCCCAGTGAAGCAGATCTTGATAACTTCAGCACTCTGGTCTTCACCTGACACCACACCTGCTCCAGCTAATGGAATTTTTCTGAGCCCCCTTCACAAAGTCCACACGTGAGTTACAGGTTGCTTGAGATGCTTATGAAGTGATGGAAGAAAGGGTATGAAGATGCATAGTGTAAAAAAAAACCTTAGCACAAGGCCCAAGTTGAGTTGGGGGCTTGCAAGTCATGAAAACAATGTCTCAGGAAACAGAAGAGAAACGCAGATGGAAGTCTGCCTATTGAGGGGTGGTCCATAAGTGAGGTCACAGCAAGAGGATGCTACCTCTCCATATTTCTCCCTTTCAGAATACAGCTCCTTATTTTCTCTCATTAATTTTTAAAAAATAGTTACTGCTGTAGTACTGTTATCATACCTTGTAATTAACAAAGCTCATTAATACCGCGTGTATTCAGTTAGCAGTCAAGTTTCTCCAAGTTGCCTTTCTTTAAATGCAGTATTATTCCTCTCACTGCTCTCTGGTCATTGGGCAGAAATTTCAATTTAATAGCTTTGCTCATGGCACTCTACTCTTCTGTTACCCAGCCTTTTCTCGAATCCCCTTTTCCCTTCTTTCCAAAGCAAACTGTAGACTAGCTCAGTAAGCATTTTGAACATCTCTAATAGTTTAAAGCTTCCATAACTCAAATATGTTGTCAGAAAATAGAGGTGTGCTCTGATTGGCTGAAGTGGCACTGTCATCTCCAAGGCCATTGCCATGATTTGTATTGCTTGGCTATTGTTTATACAGCACACAACATCCTTGACATCTGATTTGATCAAGTTTTTAGAAATATTTTAATTAGATTGGGGCTTTCTGTTTATATTGCATGTTCAGTGACCATTTATTAGTATTTTTGAATGTATTTTAACTAATAAATTAAAAACAGAGTTCATACACTTTAATGTAGTGCCATGTCATGTTTGGATATCTGTATACATTGAATAATGTGTAGCTTATGTTAAACACAGCCATTTCCTCAGACATTTATCATTTCTGTTTTTAAGTTTTTATTTTTACGAATGTGAGCCTGCATGAGTACATGCACATGTCGTGTTTTTTGAGGCAGAAGAGGATGTGGGGTCCCCCTGAAACTGAAATCACAGGTGGCTTGTGAGCTACCATGTGGGTGCTGGGAACTGAAACTCCATCCTCTGCAAGAGCAGTAAGCATTTTTAATGGCTGAGCCGTCTCTTTAGCCTAGCGTCATAAGTAGCCACACAGGAGGCTATGACAGGATTCCAGGGTTCTTTGCTTATTAAATCATAGCTTAGTTCCTATTGATCATTTTTTGTCCATCTTCCTTCCATTGTCCCTAAGCTCTGGTAGTCAATTTTTCTGTTCCCAATTTGTGCAAATTGAGTTTATTTAAATATTCTACACATGAATAGGATCATGTAATACTTGTGTTTCTGTACCTCCATTATTTTCCTTAAAATAAAGATCTCCAGTTCCATCCATGTTGAACTGATAACAGGATCTTATTCCTTTCAAGGATGAATACTAGTCTATTGAGTATATTTATCATGTTTTCTTTATCCTCTTATCAATTGCTAGACAGAGTTGCATCCATGTCTTTGCTGTTGTAAAGACAACTGCAGTGACCATGGGGGTGCAAATGTTTTTGTCTGGGTTTCTGCATTTCTGTCTCCCTATATCTCTTTCTCTGTGTGTGCGCGTGCATGTATGCACGTGTGTGTGTGCACGTGTGTGCGCACTTGTGTGTGTGTGTGTGTGTGTGTGTGTGTAGACCAAGTCATTGTATATCCCAGGCTGGCCTCAAGACTCACGATCCTCTCACCTGAGACTCTTCTGCCTCAACTTCCCAATTGATGGGATTATAGATAGATGTTCATTTAACTTTTAATTATTTCACATTTTAGAACTTATAAAATTTAACATTGCATGTAAATTCAACTAATTACCCTGTATCATATCCCCTGTTCCTATTATTTACTAACATACCAGTGCTAATAGAAGTGCTGTTCTTACCTCTTTTCTCTCCTTGAGAAAGCCTATTAATTCTCTGACTCACCTAAAATGTCACCTTCTCCTTAAAGCCTTCCCTGTCTAGATAGAACAGATTACCTCCCCCCACCCCCAGCAAATCTTTTCCGTGTTGGAAGTGGAACCTATGGCTTTGATTTTGCTAGGCAAATGATGTACCACTGTGCTACATCTACTTCCTCGTTTCTCTGAAGCATCTTGTTTATATGTCACATTACTTATTTCAGTATGACTTGCAAGGTACTCATTCTGACATTATAGTTAGTATATACTTAACTGTGCCTTATTCATAAATAAGAATATCATTGCTGTCTCTTACTCATAACTGTGCCTTATTCATAAATAAGAATATCATTGCTGTCTCTTACTCATAACTGCCATCACTGGACTTAGAACATTGCCTTTGCAGGACAATTGTGTAAATGGTTTCTGCTCTTTTTTTCAAGAGCTATTTTCTAAATGAATATCCTTTTATTGGATTTTTTGAGTTAAATTGAATTTCATTTTAGCTCTATGATTGTGAATTTTTCTTGAGACAGGGTTTCTCTGTATAACAGTCCTGGCTGTCCTGGAACTAGCTCTTGTAGACCAGGCTGGCCCTGAACTCACAGAGATCCACCTGCCTTTGCCTCCCAAATGCTGGGATTAAAGGCGTTTGCCACCACTGCTCGACCATGAAAATTTAAAGGATATTTATCAATTGTATGATACAGCAGTGTCAATACTTAACACTGGTGCTTAGTACCATTTTCTTTGCCTTTTATCCTGTAGTGTATTATGGTCTCATTTCTTTCAATATGATGTATCTTCTCCATGAATGTAGAGATTTCTTTCTTTCATTGTTCCTGTGTCTCTTTAGAGTACTAACGGCGGCTGTCTCATCTTATATTCGTTTATTTTAGGTCACTGGCCCTTTTCAGATTAGAAATCCCCCTGTGATAGCAAACAGAAGTAATATGACTTCTTCCCCACTCCTGGATGCCAGCCCAATGGAGCACCCAGCCCTGTTCAATGATATCAAGATCGAGCCTCCAGAAGAGCTCCTGGCTAGTGATTTCAACCTGCCCCAGGTGGAACCAGTTGACCTCTCCTTTCACAAGCCGAAGGCTCCTCTCCAGCCTGCTAGCATGCTGCAAGCTCCAATACGGCCTCCCAAGCCACCGGCTGCAGCCCAGGCCATGGCGGTGCCCACTTCATCTGACACAGGCACTTCAGCGGCCATTCCTACGGTTCTCACTCCAGGCTCTATCCTGGCGTCCTCCCAGGGGACGGCGGGCCAGCCGATTTTACATGTGATTCATACCATCCCCTCAGTCAGTTTGCCAAACAAGATGGGTGGACTAAAGACAATCCCGCTGGTGGTGCAGTCTTTGCCTATGGTCTATACCAGTCTGCCTGCAGACGGGAGTCCTGCAGCTATTACTGTCCCACTCATTGGAGGGGACGGCAAAAATGCTGGGTCAGGTGAGTGCAGGGTTTACAGCTTCCTATAGTCACTCGCCTTCAGAGAACTAGCTTTCTGAGCCATTCTGTTTTGTCTCTTTTTTACCTCTTCCAATTGGGAGGGACACTGTTTCAAAGGGAACTTGTTTTAATTATCATTTTTTAAGAAGTGGTTCTAAAATAATTTCTATATAATGCTTAAGAATGTATAATGAGCCATGTGTCTTGGCACATATCTGTAATCTCAGCATTTGAGAGGCTGAGGCAGGAGAGTCCCAAACTAACCTTGGACTGCAAGCTCCAGGCCACACTGGGGCAAGGAACTCGTGACAAGGAGACCTTGTCACAAAAGAACCTATAATTGATCTCCATTAGATAGACCATGTTTCTCAAACAAGGATGCATATTCTTGAGTGAAATATTACGTGCCTTCCTAGAATCTTTATATGTTTTTATTTGATAGTAAATAATTTAAAGCACTATATTTTAAAATATTGCTATTTTAAAGGAAAATGCAAAAGTTGAACTCTGAGTTAAATTACAAACTAAATAAGAAAAATTGCACTCAGTGAGACCTTGTTCATCCTGGGACTTCCTAGATTACTGCGCTATTTGCTTTCTGTGCCATTAGGAAGACTTTGTTAGAAAACTCACTATTCCTCCCAGTGCCGTAATTTAGCCGAGCTCTGTGGTGTCTCACCACACCGTCCCTGTTCTCTATAGAAAAGTCTCGGCAATATAGCCACGTTTCCTGGGCAGCCCTTTATTTGACATCTATGACCTTCCTTTTAAGATTTTATTGCTTTGAAGATTTTATTTGAGTTCAAGAGTATGAGGCCATTTTTCCTAACCGCGTTGGGAATTCGCATGAAGACTTTATGATGTGACTCTGTACCTCTCCAGGGACACTCACCACAGGGCTCCCTAGTACTTAACTACAGATCAGTTGTTGAACAAATAAGATTGAAAATTTGCTTGGAAGAGTTTCATATGCTATCATCTATTTATTTATTTATGCTTTGTGGTACTGCTAGTCCTAGTACTCTCCTACTACCCCCGGCCTTATTTTTGATTAAAAAACAAAACAAAACAAAAACAAAACAAACGTTTTCTTGAGATAACAGTTTCATGAATTGACTCAGACTGGTTTAACACTTATTACCCAAGCAGTTGTTGAATTGTGATTATTCTACATCAGCTTATTGAGTAGCTGGGGTTACAGGTCTATGTCACCAGACCTATCTTATTTAACTTTTTTTAAAAACTTTATTTAACCTTATTTCATGTACATTGGTATAATGATGTCAGATTCTCTGGAACTGGAGTTCCAGACAGCTGTGAGCTGCCATGTGGGTGCTGGGAATTGAACCCTGGTCCTCTGGAAGAACAGTCAGTGCTCTTAACCACTGAGCCATGTCGCCAGCCCTTATTTAACTTTTGAAGTGAGCTCAGAATTCAGAACGTATAAATTAAGCCCCATCTTTCATTGTCCTCAACAACAGTTCCCTTTTCAGAATTATGTTTATTTTGTTCATAATCAGAAACGATAAAAGAAAATCTGTTGCTTCTAATTTGGTCTGAAATATTTGCTATCACCATGTGTGTAATATTACAATCAGCTTTGAGTGTTGTAATTGTTGGGATAATCCTAGGAATTCTCTCAAGACAGTCAGGGAACTCTTCAGAGACTTCAGTGTCTCCAAAATACATGGAACCCATCTTTCCTGCAGACCCTTTCCCAGGAGCTGGAGGTAGAGGGATGGATATATCATACTTAGATCATGTGCTGGAGAAATTCACATTCTGGTGATGGGAGAACAGTCATTGCTACCCTTCCTTCAAAGACACCAAGACATCTCTGTCCTTTCTTATGCTAAAAAATTGTTTAGTAGTTACTGTCTTCCTCCTCTCTCTTTTTTTTTTAAGATTTTTCTATCTTCTACTTCTTAATGTGGGAATCCTGAAAATAACTGTCGAGGTGAAAATAACTGTAGCAGTGCAAACGTCCTGGTCTACAGTTCTCCCTTTCTTTGTTTTTAGTCAAAGTTGACCCCACCTCCATGTCTCCACTGGAGTTTCCAAGCGATAGTGATGAGAGTGCAATTGAGAGTGGATCTTCAGCCTTACAGAGTCTGCAGGGATTGCAGCAAGAGTAAGTACTTAAAGTGTGTGTGCGTGTGCATGTGTGTGCGTGCATGTGCACACAAGCATGCATGTATAGAGTTAGAATTAACAGAACACAGCAGTAAAAGATTGAGGAAAACAAAATATAAGCTAACTACCTTCCCCAAGAACTATATAAGTGTGTGTACGTTTGTAGTGTTTGTCTCTAACAGCCTGGCTTTCTAATCTTGAAAAGAATTGGAAGCAATTAGCTTGCATTAAGCAACTATGAATTTTTTATTTTTTGTTTTAAATGTTTTATTCATTTTACTTACCAACCACAGTTCTCCCTCCTTCCCCCTCCTCCTGTCCCTCCCCCCCTTTCCCACAACCCCATTCCCTCCTCAGACAGGGTAAGGCCTCCCATGTGGAGTTAGCAGAGCCTGGCACATTAAGTTGTGCAGGACCAAGCCCCTCCCCACTGCATCAAGACTGAGCAAGGCATCATTCCAGCATAGAGAATGGGCTCCAGAAAGCCAACTCATGCACCAGAGATAGATCCTGGTCCCACTTCCAGGGGCCCCTCAAACAGACCAAGCTACATAACTGTCACCCCCATGTAGAGGGTCTAGTTTGGTCCTATGCAGGCTCCCTCGCTGTTGGTCTAGAGTGTGTGAGCTCCCATAAGCTCAGGTCAGCTGTCTCTGTAGATTTCCCCTCCATGATCTTGATCTCTCTTGCTCATGTAATCTCCCCTCCTTCTCTACCTCTGAACTCCAGAAACTTGGCTTGGTGCTTGGTTGTGGATCTCTCATCTGCTTCCATCAGTTACTGGATGAAGGTTCTATGATTACAATTAAGGTTGTCATCAATCTGATTACAGGGAAAGACCAGCTCAGACACCCTCTCCACTATTGCTAGGAGTCTTAGCTGGGGTCATCCTTGTGGATTCCTGGGAATTTCCCTAGCACCTGGTTTCTCCCTAACCCCATAATGGCTTCCTCTATCAAGCTATCTCTTTCATGAGTAAACATGTGATATAAAAATGCATTTTGTTAAGCATGAGAGTGGCACATGTTGAATGTTCACCCTGTTTGACAACGTAGCTGCTCAAAGAAAAATTACCACCTCCAGTGCTTTCTCAGTGAGCTGCATTTATTTCCTAAGCAGACTGGCCAAGTTGAAAGAATTGCTTACATTGTTCCAGCTATTTCTTCTCTTAGGGAGCTAGCATTAAATTTGCATAAATGATAAAATGGTATGAAATCCCACCACTGTAATTGGTCTAATCTTTCTTCCTTTACTTAGACCAGCAATGGCGGCCCAAATGCAGGGAGAAGACTCTCTTGACTTAAAGAGAAGACGGATTCACCAGTGTGACTTTGCCGGATGCAGCAAAGTGTACACCAAAAGCTCTCACCTGAAAGCTCACCGCAGAATCCATACAGGTCTGTCCCTCACCCCGCCCCCCCATACTCTTCCAGCTCCAGCACACACCTGCATACATAAGAGGAGGCTAGAGGGAGAGAGAAAAACTGCAAGGAAGAGAAGATCACTTATGGGTTTTCGTCCTATTATTATTCTTATCCTAACACCAAGAACAGTCTAGCAAAAACAGAAAGCCTGGTACCTTCCAAGTAAATTGCTGCTGTGCCTAGTTTTGCAGTGCTATGTAGTAAATAGGCCCAAGGCATCATGCATGGAATAAGCACTAAGCACTCTACATCACCAGGCCCCGTCGATTTTTGTTTTGTTTTCTTTTGTTGTTCACTTTTTTTTTTTTGACACGGGATCTCATGTAGCCACCTCTGGCCTCAAACTTGCTATGTAGCCGAGACTGACCTTGAATTTCTAATACTTTTGCCTTCATTTCCCAAGTGCTGGGATTATAAGCATTCAATACCAAACCCATCATATTTTTGAGTTTTGCTTAAGGAATCTCCATACTGTTTTCTATGTACTAGTTTACTTTTCTACCATCAGTATACCAGGAATTTTTTTCTCCATATTCTTCTCAGCATATTGTGCTATATTTGTTTATTTATTATGGTAGCTATTCTGACAGGGTAGGGTAGCATACAGGTTCCTTTTATGTGTCTGCAATGGTTGAAAACCAAGCATATTTTCATGTATTTACTGAAACATTTGTATTTCTTCTTTTCAGTAGTGGGTGTCCATATCATTGTCCCATTTAGTGAGTGAATTATTCATTTGCTATTCTATTGAGTTCTTTGCATATTTTGGATACTAATCCTCTCTCTTATGCGTAACTAGCAGAGGTTTTTCTTTCATGCTATTGCTTGTGTCTTTTGCTGATTATTTCTTTATTCTGCAGATGCATTTTAATTTTTCACCCCATGTGGCACATCTTGAGTTTATTACCTGAGCTCTTAGAGTCATTGAAGTATTTTACATATTTTCCTCTAAGTTTCACAATTATGGTTCTGACATTAGCTTCTATGCCATTGGGAGTTTAGTTTTGTTTAGTGAGAAATGGGGATATATTTTCAATCCTTCCTGTGTGAGTATCTACTTTTCCTAGCACCATTTATTGTCAAAGATGATCTTTCCCCAATATGTGTGCATTAGATATTTCTCATCATTGTAACTAAATATTTAAGCAAGTCAACGTTTTTTTTCTTTTGGTTTTTCAAGACAGGGTCTCCCAGTAGCTATGGAGCCTGTCCTGAAACTCATTCTGTAGACCAGGCTGCCCTCAAACTCACAGAGATCCACGTGTCTCTGCCTCCCAAAGTGCTGGAATTAAGGGTTTGCACCACCACCATCTGGCTGAGCAAATCAACTATAAAGAGAAAATTATTTTTTTGTTTCTAGTTTCAGAGGTTTTAGTGTGTGGCCACCTGCCTCTGTTGCTTCCGGTGAAGCAGAACATTGTGGACAAGACCATGTCAGTGAAGAGAGTGGCTCACCACATGGTGGTGTACAAGAGACACAGATAATCAAAGAAGGGACATGAACAAGATATGCTTTCTGAGTATATATATCTTCATGCTCCCATCCTCTATGCAGGCGCTGTCTTGTGTTTTCCATCACTTATGAATAATGTAAAGTTTTAAGAGCATCAATGGATTAAGCATTGATTATAACCCTCATAATCCAGTCACTTCTAGCATTACCAACTAGGGACAAGTCATCAACACGTAGCCCACATAACCTTTTGGGGTTGTTTTGTACGAAAACATATTTTTTTCTTTTGTCAAGAATTAGATGACTGTAGACATGTGGGTTTATTTCTAGGTTCTTTATTCAATTCCATTGGTTTATGTGTCTGATTTTTTTACCAGTACTGTTTTTTGTTGTTGTTGTTACTATTGCTTTGTAGTATATTTTATAATACCTTCAGCATTAATATCATAAACATTTTGTTAGATTACTTTGGCTATTTAGGTCTTTTGTACATCCATATCAATTTCAAGTAAGCCAGGCAGTTATAGCACACACCTTTAATCCCAGGACTCAGGAGGCAGAGAGTTCGAGGCCAACCTGGTCTACAGAGTGAGTTCCAAAACAGCAGAACTATTACACAGAGAAATCCTGTCTTGAAAAACAAAAAGGAAGGAAAGAAGGAAAGAAGGAAGGAAGGAAGAAAAAAAAGCAAAGGAAAGAAAATTAAAAGACTACAGTGCACATACATATTCAGCATCATTTTATTATATATTTTGTAAGAACCAGGGTCATGGCAGTGCTGGAAAGGGGTTTAGGAAGCCATGCAGGTTCACTGTTTACAACATGGAGCTAAGGAAGTGACGATAAAGGGATGTAGAACAGTCATAACGGTATCTACTTAGTGTCGGGTTCTGCTTTTATTTTTGCTTCTTTTTGAGTATCACCTGTATTTTTTAATAGAAAAATAAAACTCAGGAGGAGAGGGAGTGGGGGGGAGTGGGAGGGTGTTGGGAGGAGGGGCAGAAATGGAAACTTTTATAATTTAATAAACTTTGAAAAAAAAAAACTCAGGTTGTCGGGCTTGGCAGCAAGCACCTTTCCCAAGTGAAGAAGACCATCTCAGTGTTCTCTCTCTCTCTCTCTCTCTCTCTCTCTCTCTCTCTCTCGTCTTGTTTTATTGCTGTGCATAAAATTTCAAGCACTGTATTTAAAGGGAGTATAGATTATAGACATCTTTGCCTTGTTTTATATTGTACAAGAAATACTTCCGGTTTGTCCTCATTCTATATTATGCTGGCTATCGACTTGCTGTATATAGCCTTTATCATGTTGAGATGTGATCCTCCTATTCTTAATTTCTTCAAGGCTTATATTATGACTATATGTTGAACTATATCAGAGTTCTGTCCTGCATTTATGGAGATTATCATGGGATATTTATCTTTGATCCTTTTTATGTACAATGTTACATGTTGATCCATCCTGGAACACCAGAATTTAATCAAGTTAACCATGGCTTATTATTTTTGATATGCTGTTTGAGTTGAAAATAATTTATTGATGATTTTTGTGTCTGTGTTCATCAAGGCTGTTGTCCTGTACCTTGTTTGCTTTCTTTTTCTTTTATGTGTTCCCATCAAGTTTTGGTGTCTAGATGACACTGACCTTAACTTGAACAAAAGCTTCTTTAGCCATAATAAAAGGCAAAGATCTTGAAATAGAAAGATGGACTTCGTCCTGAACTGTTTTGAATCTGAGTGTTCTAGCAGTGAGCTCAGATTGCCACATGGTGGCACTACCTTAACAAGTCAGTTATTACTCATCTGGGTGTAGTGAAAATAGGAGCTCCTAGGAGAAATCCTTGAGCAGTTACAATAAAGTCTATACATAGCAAAACTGTTGTGGAGTGTGGAGACGGGATACTACTATGTTGAATAAAAGTAAAAAGAAAATCTCATTTGCACTCCCTACATTCACTGAAATCCTGTTCTTCTTTCTAGATGTTAATAATCTTGCATAACCTACCAGTCTCTTCTTTTGTTCAGTGAAAGAGACAGACAGGGTAGCTCTGCCTAGCCTAGAACTCACTATATAGACCAGGCTGGCCTTGAACTCAGAAGTCTCCCTGTCTCTGCCTTGTGGGTCTGAAATAAAAGGTGTGTACCACTACACCCAAGATTGTCTTTAGTCTTTAATGCTTTCAGCTGTGTGCCATTCTTCTTAGAGGCTAATGCAGCAATTTCTGAATATTGAAATGATCAGTAACTAACATCTTTAACCAACCAAATAGTTTCCTGGTAATGTTCCAAACGCGTAAGGTAGACCAGATTTCATTCTGTCGTCCATTATCTACTAATTAATTAGTGAACACTTGAGAGGGTTAGTAGGCAGCAAGCAGTAAGTCAAAAGAGAAGATGCAAATCTGATTGCCACCAGACTTTAAAACAGCCAAAAGCAAATGCCTCGGAAATTTTATAATGAGGAAAAGAGGGATAGAAGAGCAAAGACTGTTAGAATCCTAATACATTCTGTGTCTGCATTATTGTCTTTTATTATAAAATAGTACTCATTCTAGTAGATGAGAAACAGAGAAGCAGATAAAGGAAAAAGCAAATATTGCTATGATTTGTGATCTGCATTTATCCACAGTTAATGTTTATTTGTTCACATACATACTTCTTTTAATCAAAATAAAGTTTTGGCTGAGTGGTAGTGATGCACACCTTTAATCCCAGCACTCAGGGGACAGAGGCAGGAGGATCTCTCTGAGTTTGAGACCAGCCTGTCCTACAGTGTGAATTCCAGGACAGCCAGGGCTACACAGAAAAACCCTATTTTGAAAATAAAATTAGATTTATTTATGTTTATTGTATGTGTATGGGTGTTTCCCCTGTATGTATGTATGCCTGTGTACCACGTGTGTGCCTAGTGCCACAGAGGCTAGAAAGAGACATCAGATCCCCTGGAACTGGAGTTACTGATGGTAGTGAGTTATCATATGGGTGCAGAGAATTGAGCCTAGATCCTTTGCAAGAGCAGCCAGTGCTCAGAACCACTGAGCCATCTCTCCAGCCCCAACTAATTAACTTTTGTGACACAATCTCTCTTAGGAACACAGACTAGCCTCAAATTCTTGAACCGCCTACCTCACATTCTTTAGTACTAGGATTGCAGGTGTTCACTACCAGTCCAGTCCTGGTTTATTTTTTGTTAATATATATATATGATATAATGGCTATCATATATGTTATATACGTCTACATCATGATTTTAAAGTATTCAAACAGTACAAAAAGTTGTTAAAAAAAAAGATCTACTATCCTTCACCTTCACTTTTCTCATTGTTGATACTTTTCCTATAATTTCTGTTTCAATGTGTTGATGTTTCCTTTATCCTGAGTGTATAAGTGTGTGGTATATGACCTGTGCTATAATGGGATTGTGCTTTGATAGTTCTTCCTGTACTACTTTTTTCCAGTTTTTTTTTCCTCTCCTGGTCATACATGTCCCATATATAATCCAGTTTTAACCTTAGGATTTGGAGCATGGAGCTGTTTAAAATAATTGAGCTTGACAGCTCTCCCCATTCCTCTCCGTGGAGGAGTTTATGACCAGACAGAGGACCAAGCAAGCTTCAACTGAGTGCTCTTTCCATTGAATCACGTGTTCGTGTTGTCGATGGATTTATTTCAGATCATCTATTAGGAAGTGTCCGGTGAAAGACTATAGCTAGACTCGAGTAGTGGAGTAGAAAGTGGCAGCCACCTGGATTTGTGTTACAGTTTGCATGTCAAATTCCGCCTACAGGCTCCTGTGTTTGAAAACTTGGCCCCCAGCTGCTTGTGCTGTTTGGGGGAGGTTGTGGAATTTTGGCAGTTGGGGCTTGGCTGTAGGAACTGAATCTCTGGGAGATAGGCTTACATCCCCGACCGACTTTTCCTCTTTCTGCTTCCTGATCTGCAGAGATGTGAGTACACACTGAACCAAGCTCCTGACATGATGGAGCCGCCTGCCACCATGTCTACTTTGCCTTAATGGACTGCATGCCTGTAAACCATGACCCAGAATAAGTCCTTTCTTCCCTAGCATTCCCTAGAAATGCTTCTTGCCAGGCATTTGGTCACAGCTAGGGGAATACAGTTTGTACTAGCAATCTAATTTTTTCTTTTTTCTTCTTTTTGAAATAGTACCTCACTATATAGCCTTGCATAGCCTGGAACTCACTATGTAGAATAGCCTGGCCTCAAACTTGTAATGTTGTTCCTCCTGCCTCTCCCTCTTGAGTGATAGGAGTGCCGGCAAGCTTTCCTATGTCCAGCCTCCATTGTCTGCCTTTTAAAATGTTTTGAACAACCTTGTGAGATATTTCTGCATCTGTTTAGACTTGAGAAAATGCACTTGGCCAGTGCAAAGTGACTCTTTACTATATATAGGTTAGTGTGGTAGAAGCAGGATTCAGACTGTTTGAGAGCCGGGGTTCTCTCCACTTTACTGTCTCAACCTAAGTTTAGACCTTCCGCAAACAGCACTGTGTAGTTGAGCCAATGTGTGAAATAATGCATATGCTAATCAGCTAGATTTAACCAGTCCACAGTGTGTACGTATTTTGAAACTTGTAGAATACAAGCAATATGATGTTTATTTGTTAAGCTAACTAATTAAAAAGGTGAATGAGAGTACCCATTTACAGTGATTGTCTTACTTTTGGACTCAAGCTTTGATATAAATTATGCATTCTGCTGTATTTCTGGTAGCATGTCATTTGCTGATTACCTTAATTTCGCCATATTTCCCCTGCAGGAGAGAAGCCTTACAAATGCACCTGGGACGGCTGCTCCTGGAAGTTTGCTCGCTCGGATGAGCTCACTCGCCATTTCCGTAAGCACACGGGCATCAAGCCATTCAGGTGCACAGACTGCAACCGCAGTTTTTCTCGATCTGACCACTTGTCCCTACACCGCCGGCGTCATGACACCATGTGAATATCCCAGGCCACAACAGACGTGCTGTACTGGTCTCCTGAGTGTGTGCTGAGGTTGAGACTCTGTTTGCCTCTTTGACTACAACTTGCCCCTGTGATTGGGGTTAGAACAGCCTACTGAGCCAGGTTGATGAGACTGGAGACCAGTTAGCTGGTCTCCATCAGGCTCTTCATATTCCACTTTCACCTCTCCACTGTCCAGACTTCAGTTTTGTCAACCTCTTCCTGGGTTGAATTCTAGTGCGGCGCCCATGGTTGCCCTCCCTGATCCCTCATGCTATGTTATAGACATTTTTCCTACAATAACAAACAAAACAGGAATCAAACTCAAGGCTGTGAACAAACATCCGCTGCTCCCCCTTTTCTCTTGTTTTATAAAACCTTTATCCATATATATATATATATATATATATATATATATATATATATATATAATGAATAAAATATATATATATATATATATATATATATATATATATACTGTAACCAGTACTTAAAGTCACTTAGTGATGTCCTAAAATGAGGTTTTTTTTTTCAAAGTCATAGGTACAAGGGGCATAACGGTGTTGATTGGTCAGATTTACAGAGAATTGAGTCTGAAATACAGAGTCTCATTCTAACCCCAAAGGTTTTGTAGATCCAGTTTTACTTGTTCTTACCAGTTTGGTTTACAGACAATACCAGCCCTCCTTTTTGAAGTCCATCAAAGAAATGAAGGGATTTTTTTGACCTCCTATTCCTCCTCATGCTCCTTTATAATTAAAGGTCTTATGGCACAATTACATTCTTTTTAGATTAAGTTTGGACAAATATTCAAAGCACAGAAAGACAGATCAATAGGGAGAAGTATCCTAGGAAAGTGTGTTGGGCTGTGACAGGAAAAGGCAGACCTGGGAGGACCCTGTGAGCAATTATTTGGATAAGGTGTTAGCACTGCTGTTAATCCCAAACCTCATGCAAAGGGCAGCCTTTTGCAAAGGCTCTGTCGCTGGGCTCCACTGCACTGTTGATTCTTTTGTTTACATGAAGCAACCGTTCGTCTGATTCCCTGAGAGAAATTGCACACTGAGCATGTTATACAGAGGTGAGGGGTTGCACTAAATGAATTTTGTTTACTTCGTGCCATTTTTTTTGGCTCTCCTTCTGTTTTTAGTGAGATAGAAAAGATTGTTTTTCCGACACTGGCATATGAACTGCTATCAATCCCCAAGCCATTTTATTTTAGGCGTAACAGCAGGATGCATAGTATACATTTGATTGCCCAATCAGACTGTTCCTAATATTCTCTGGGGCAGAAAACCCTCTGTTCCTGGCCCTGGACCTCAGATCTACCTCCATGTGGCATATCCCATCTCCTGAGAAACAGGGGAGGGGCTCTGTGTCAATAGAATTGGACGCAGCCTCTTGCCTAAAGGTTGTCTTCATACTAAACCTTTTTTCTTGGCAGATATTCGAAAGTTCTAGCGTGAATACTTTAGGTTACTACCTCCTGTGGCTGTCCTTTCTAGCTAAATCCTAGAACTCTACCATCTAGAAGGGGTCCTGTCTACTTCTATCCAGATGAGGCAAATACGGGTTCGATTCTTTCTCCAGATAGTTCCTTGAGGCCTTACAGACCTATACACTCCTCCCAGGGATCACACTAGTAAACCAAATTAAAGAAAAAATTATGTGATTGGTTGCAATATTTGTCCAATTTTATATGTTATCCTCAAAATTTATCTATAGTTGAGGAGAAAGTAAGTAGAATGTGCTTATGGCCATTGCCAGTTAACGCCATGCACACAGTGGTTCTAGTCTCATATTTTGATAGTTCTGGTTTTTTTTTAATTTACCTTGTTGTTTCCAGACCATAAATTCTCCATAAGTTAAGTCCTACTTGTGCTTTTCAAGATGACATGTAGGTTTTCCTATTATCATTATCTTCATATAGGATTTTTCCTGACTTGGGGTATGCAAGTTCCAAGCTGTATGTATACTAATTACTAAAGCACTAATAAATATCTAGGGTCAGTCTATTAATGGGGACCACATTGTATGACAGATTGATAAATGTATATTACTACCATGCATGGGCTTAAGCTTATAATTGAGTAGTTGGTACAATATTATAGAACTGAGTCCAAAGGGTTACCTACCCTTTTCCCACTTTAGATCCTAAGGTTTGTTTTCCAGAGTTCAGAATTGACATGTGCCCCTTAGACTTCAGGATATTGAGACATATAGTTAAAATATTAACATTGAGACATATATTTACAAATGAGCACTATCAAATTATAGTACTCATAAGGGTGATCAAATTAGGATCCTAAATGTTGATGTTCCTAGCATCTCTGAGCCTTTATTCAAATATATTTCTGCAGAGTGATAATAGACCGTGCAAATGCTTGGTTTGTTGTCTTTAGGCAAGAAACAATTTGAACCCTATTCTTGTTGCCCTTTTTTTTCCCCAAAAATGGTAAAATCTTTCTAGTTACAAACATATTCTTTAGAAATGTGTCATAATTAAGAAATTTTCAGAGTAAAGAGATTCAAACACAGTACAGTGTAGAGTTACTGCACCAATAGCACATACAAGTTTGCTAGATGGTGGAGCAGAAAGAAAATGAAATGTATCTATCTCTCTTGGTTAATATCTGAGCTTCAACTAAGTTTAATGGGCTTACAACAGCAAAGCACTGTTAGTATGACATTTGCCTAGGGTATGGAAATCTCAATGGGATGATAATATTCAGAAATTTATTACAGTGGAATTCCTCCTGTAGACATTTTGGCAGCTGAACATAACTATTGATAATTGCCATTGTAAAATATAGAAAATATAAATTGGATTGATGGATTAGTGGGGTTCCTTATGTGCAGAATACAAATGTTTGTAAAAAGAATTTCTTTTTAAATAAATTTTCCATGTTGGAACTCTTAGGTTTTCAGAAAAAATGTGAAGGTAGAACAGAGATCCTGTTTACTGCACATCTTACATTAGTATGGTACACTTGTTACACTTAGTGGAACAATAATGATACGTTAATGTTAACTACAGTCAGTGCTATGTTCAGACGACCTTCGTTTTCATCTGCTGTCCTTTTTCTGTTTTAGTATCTCCTTCAGAATACTGCATTGTATTAATCGTCACAACTCCTTTGGTTGTGATGTCCTTGCTCTCAAGGACCTTGGGAGCATGTTCTTCAGTTGGGATTTATTTGATACTTTTCTCATGAAAAGACTAGATTAGTGGATTTGGGCCTGAACAAGCACACAAGTGAGTTACTATTTTCATAACATCGTATTTCTGTAGCTTATCATTCTTCATGTTGTCTTCAGTCACATGGCTGGGATAGTATATATGAGATTTTTCACATAGACCCCTTTTCCTATCATGCTACACTGTTTGGAAGGAAGTTATATGTGCAGCCCACACATGTGGAAATGGTGAGTTCTGAACCATGTCCTTGAGAGCAATGCATAAATTCTTTGGAATTCTTCTGCATGGGAGCTTTACTTCCTCTCCATTTATTTATTTTCATAATTATTTATGCCAACATGGACTCATTGATATTTATTTTATAGTTTATCTTATAATCCAATGCTACTTGTATTTTGTTGCCCAAACTGTAGCTTTGGCTGTTAGGAGCTCAATTAGTCCCTAAATCTTTTTTACCTACCCCATCATTTGTTTTTCAGCATGTGCTTGAGTTTTAGTGTTGTAAGATGTTCCAGGTTCATCTTGCTTTTGTTTTGTAGAGGGCACTTTCATAATCAGGCATTTCTTCAATGAGTTCTAATTCCTTCTACTGAAGAATTGTATCAGAAACCAAGGTCTGTGCTCTATGTGTGTTTGCTACTTTGGGGATATTATTTCTTCAAGGCTTCTCAGCCAATAGAACAAAGAAATATATGCATATATCTTACACTATATATATGCGCATGTCTATAAACATTTCCATATGTGATCTTCTTTATTATCTGCATATGAATTCATACCATTGTCTACAATCCTTAGTTATCTGTATAGCCTTCCATGCTAACAGTGAGAACCATAGCTCCACCTTCTGTGATTTATTAATTGTTGAAGTCCAGTTTATATACATATGAACAGAGTCTTAAGTATTATCCCATAAACCCATGAAAAATCAACCAAATAGAACCCGGTGCTTATGTACATGGTAGTAACATTTTTAGAACTTCAACAATTCCTTGAACCAGAATGGTCTACAAAATTCTTGAACTAAAGGTATCTGTATTCTCAATTCTATTCTAGCCCCTAAAAGCTTTCTCATACATGAAGCAAAAACCATTGGTGATTGATCTAACCTTGAATAAGTCAAGGAAGCTTGTTGATCCTCCATTTTTTGTGAGTGGGAAAGCAACCGCATGGGCCCAGTTTAAAGAAACACTTAGCACTGTCTTTTTCTCTACTAAATATGGATCTCTAACAACTGGGTGGTCCCCTGATTTGCCTCTCTTCTGTATTTTCCCAAGTTTTTAGGCAAGTCACATCACCTCTCTGTGCCTCTATTAACCCATCTAAAAATGGGGATCCACATATCTACCTCACAGGAGTGTTGTGAGGCTTCTTATTAATAGATGTTTAAAAAATGATGCGTGATCTCTAAATGAGCAAGAAAATATTATAATCATTACTATGATGCTAATTAGAGTACCCTATATTTATCCTATGGAAAGGAGAATAGCCCTCATCAGTAAACAGAGAAATTTAAGTCAATAAGAAAGATCAGTGAAAAGTGGCCGCTGGAAGCAATATTGTTTGTTCTGTTACTTTCCTTACATCCTGTAACTATGGGATTGTCAACTGTTTCCAGATTTGAAGCATATTAGGACCTAAAATAATAAGAGGCAAAATACAGAGTTTTGAAATTATATTTTTCTCCCTTTCTTACTCTGGTTGGACTGCATTACATATAACTTTGTCAGAAGCACAAAGACAATTTCTCAAAGCTTTTCAGTCTTTGGTCAGTTCTGTTTCATCAGTTCAGATTTCTCTTTCTGCGTGTACTGTACATTGAACAGTAAAGGTAGGAGGGGAGTGGGGTGGGACGGTTGGGTTGGGAGTGGACGGAAGAGAATGGAAATTATGTAGGTGGTTTTCAAACACTGGGGAATACTTTCCATTTCTTTTTTCTGGTGGTGGGTTGGGGACAAGGGAAGAGATAACTATTTTGTTAACAAATTCTCCTTCCCTTTCAGTAGATGTTTCCTAGGGTCAGTACAAATAGCCGTGTTGGATGTTACTTTTATAACTATGTTGTATACAGTGCTGTTTTCATTGTATTCCTGAATCAAAAGGGAAGACAGTCCCTAGTGATGTTCAACCCTGGTTTTGACAGGAGGTCACAGCAGGAGAGCAGTACCAGAAACTGACTTTTGTGGTGGGGAAAGGAGCCTGCAGTGAAAGGATTTATTGGAGTTTTGTCATTATTTAAAGAAATTATAAAACAGTATATTATGCATTAGTCTCTATAACTCTTCTGTTTGTGCCTCCTTATCTTAGTGCTTTAGAGCAGCACCTATTTTCACTCCATTTTATACTTGTTCCTGTTCAGAGGTATGATATTGAGCACTCTCTCATATCCAAGTCTGTTGTGTACCTGAAGATTCTCGAGAATTGTCTCAGTAAGCATGGCCACCCAGAGGTTACTCTATTGTAGCTCAGTGGGCACCTCCTACTGCAGCTTCCAGGCAGGGTGTGTGCTTGAATACTAAGCAATCTTGTTCTGTCTGATTACTGTACTTTTTTAATAATAAAAATATTTTAAACCAGAAACCATGGGTTTGGTGTTCAGTTTATCTTCTCATTGTATTTCTTCAGCGTGGAGCAAGTAGATTATTTTCTTTTTTGAAACTCTGCATAAAAAAGTGATAGAGGGTACTATATAGTATTGTATAGCCACAAAGGAAGTCATACAGTCTCAAACAATGTTTTTTTTTCTGTTTAAGTACATGAAGCCCTCCTAATTCTTGCTGTGTTATATTCAGACATGCCCATGAATAGGACTTGATGAAGACTGTATGCTGTTTTTGTATTTCCTATATAGAATCCTCCAAGAGTTCTAAGGGTATAGAGTCAATTGCCTAGGTTTTCCTGCCCAGGTCTTTTGGGGGGGGGGAAGTAAATAGGTAAAGGAGGGTATTAGGACAGTTTTAAAGTCCAAAGACATCTCAACACATTGCTAGTCCTGAGCAGACTCGTAGGAAGAAGTCTCTTCTGAAACTTTTGTGTTACAGAGAAGCCCCCCCCCCCCCCCCCCCCCCGGGGCGCATTCTTTGAAGGAGATGGTGGCCAGAAGTTGGAAGGAAAATAAAAGTGGCTCTTCCCAAGGCTGTTGGGATGATGGATCCTAAAAAGAACAAACAACAAGTTTACAGATTTCCCCTCAGTGTTAATTTATTTTGTGAGAAGAAAAAAAATATTTTGAAAGTGTTGTTAAAAAGAGCTTTACAAGCCGGATGGTGATGGTGTACACCTTTCATTTCAGCACTCTGGAGGCAGAGGCAGGCAGATCTCTGTGAGTTCAAGGCCAGTCTAGTCTACAAAATGAGTTCCAGGACAGACAGGGCTACACAGAGAAACGTGTCTTGAAAACAACAAAGAGATGGAGGGAGGGAGGGAGGGAGGGAGGGAGAGAGAGTGAGTGTGTGTGTGTGTGTGTGTGTGTGTGAGAGAGAGAGAGAGAGAGAGAGAGAGAGAGAGAGAGAGAGAGAATGAAAGTTAGTTGGGTGGTAATTAAGGAAGCAGGACTTCTGAGCTTTGAGTCCCTCTCCTTTCTCATCACAAGTACCGGTGGTGACCAGAGTGTACAATTATATTGTGCCTAAGGGGCTTAACACACATAACAAAAGATTATCAGATAATTTTCCTATATGCAAGTCCATCCTGCGTATATAGTCTCCTTCTGTCGCTAGTAGTCATGCAGTCCATTTCTGAACCTCCAGCAGCTCCCACCAATACAAGCATGTACTTTCCCCACCTTCAGAACACTGATTCAGAGTTATTGAACCTGTGCTCCAGAAATAGAAACTTCCAAGGCCTCGGATGACGATTTCCACTTTCCTAGTTCCTGTGTTTAGATTGATTGTCATTACGTTGTCAGGAGTGGATTAGAGGTGACTCATCTCTGCCTCCTGTGCCGCCACAGACATCAGCACCTACAGGAACCCTCTTGTTTATCACCCACCATCTCCCTGGTACTTCCCAGCTGTAAAGAGAAGACTTTTCCATTTTTCAACCTCTCTTTTTCTTTAAAAAAAAAAAGTTTCAAAAAAAATTTTTTTTTTTTTGTGAGTGCCCTTTGTTGCTGACTGCCTTGTAAGAAATGGCCTATTTAGGTGTCTAGGAGAAACATTTTTTATCTAGATAAGTAATCAGAACTTTGGGAAAGAGTGAATGAACTTCATATCTGTAGCTGAAGGAATAGAGCTAACAACCCATGTACGTGGTCACTCCTCAGACTAAAAGGAATACAGGCATTGATCAGACCTTCTGAAGCCGCTATGTACACTTGCTACATTTTTTCCCTTCCAAAGAAGTGACCTCTATCCTGTTTCCATGCTCATCATATAATTCCGCTCATTTTTAATGTTTTTTGCTTTTTGAATTTATAATCCAATGCATCATCTCCCCCTTCCCTTTCATCCTTCCAAAGCCTCCCATATATTCCTCCTTGCTTGCTTTCGAATTCATGGCCTCATTGTTACTATTGTTACAAACATACATATTCCTAAATAAATAAATACAGTCTGCTCAGTCCGTATAATGTTACATGTATATGTTTTCAGGGCTGACCATTTGGAATTGGATAGCCGATAGTGTACTGATCTGCGACAAAGACTGTTTCTCCTGCTTCCAGCCCTCCTCAGTTGCCTGTAACTTTTTTTCTAGGGTGGACTTAGCCCATCCTTCACATTAGGATGCTTTTCCCTTGTTCAACTCTTGTTCAGACTTTATGGGTGTGGCTTCTGACATTTCCAGAAGATACAGTCTCAGCAAATGTCCTGGTGTCTGACTCTTATCCCCTCCCTCTCCCTCCTCCATGTTCCCTGAGCCTTAGATGCAGGAGTTGTATTATAGACCTGTCTGTTGGGACTGGCTTCTGCACGTCTGCATTTGGATTGGTTGTACATTGCAGGAAACTGTCTGTTGCGAAGAGAAATGTCCATGTTAAAGGGTGAGGCCTGCATTTGTCAGTGAGAATAAGGATAAATATTTAGAATATACTTAGGGAATATGATGGTTTAGTAAAGAGACAGTTGTACGTTCTTCTCCAAGGTCCATGACGCTTCTCAGGTAGTTGGGTAGGTTTCCCAGATCAGGGACAATTTCCTTATTTTTGAGTGGGGTTTAATCCAGTTAAAGAGCTGTTAGGTATCGCCAAGGTATGAGTGCCACTACTGAACCTTAGTGTTATGGTGCCATGCTGGCACTGTGGTTCAAAGGCATCTTAGCTGGGTAGGACTATTGGCTGCTTCCCTCCTTTGGAAAGTCCCATGGCTCCTTTTCTGGTGACTGCTAGTCTTCCAGGAGGAGGCTTTCAGCTTAGTTGCAGCTCAGGGGCTCTGTCTGACTAACAATAGTCATAGCATTCCTCTCTTTTGAAAAATGTCCTTGTCATCAATGAATGCAAATGCAACTATTTTCCTTTTCTTGTTTTTGAGCCACACATATTTGCCTTTGTACCTGAATTCCTTTACTTAGAATTCTGTTTGTGAGATCCATCCATGATCTGTGAGCTATTGCTGTGAGCTATTTCATCATACACATATGATGGAATAAGTACTTATCTACTCCAAATATACTATCCCTTTTGGGATAGGGAGTTCCCCTAACACTGTTTCAAGTTTAAATGTAAGAATACTTAGAGAAACACAACTTTGGTGAACGTTCTCTTAATGGCTTTGATGACCATTTGTAAGAAGTTCTATCTACGGAAGGGAATCCTGGTACATAGAATATTTGTTTATTTTTAAATATTTTTTAAATTTTATTTTTATGTTCATTGGTGTTTTGCCTGCATGTATGTCTTTGTGAGGGTGTCAGATCCCCTGGAACTGGAGTTACAGACAGTCGTGAGCTGCCATGTGGGTGCTGGGAATTGAACCCAGGTCCCTTGGAAGAACAGCCAGCGCTCTTAGCCACTGAGCCATCTCTCCAGCTGAGACATTTGCTTTTTTAAGCTTAGCAGTGTAAAATATTTTTCAATGCAATTGCATCAATTTAGATTTCTACTTATAATATGTGAGGTTTTAAATCACAACTCTGATAATATGTTACATTTTGCTTTTGGTTTTTTAAGGATCAAATCCAGGGTACTATTGCTGGGAAAGAAGACCATAAGGACTACTTTATATAGAGAGATAACATGGTACTAATATGGATATGTGATATGAGTCAGCTATAACACAGCAGACACTGGACATCTCGGGGGCCTGTGAGTCACTACCAATTGGCTGATTTCGAATGTCCATGGACTCCCAAGTAAACACCTATATAAACTGTCGGCTGAGTTCCACTTTTTGTGATCCCGTATAAGTATGTCCTTGAGGTCAGACATATGAGACTTTGCCTTTGCCAACCTGCCTGTGTTTCTCTACAGGCCCGTGCATTTAGCTTCATGTGGCCTGTGTGCCAGTCTGCTAGCATGTATACAGCCTGTGCATACCTGGGTGCCTGCTGGTGCCTGACTAATGGATGTATTTTACCACCGTACTCCCAAATCCTCAGATTCTCGTCAGCCTCCTGACTTCTCATAACACTCCTCCTTTCCTGGCATTAAAGCGTGGGCCTCACAACAGTAGGATTAGAAGTCATTTCCTTCTTTCTTTCTTTGTTTTCCTTTTTCTTTTTTTGGTTTATCAAGACAGGGTTTCTCTGTGTAATAGCCTTAGCTGTCCTGGAACTAGGAACTAGCTCTGTAGACCAGGCTGGCCTCGAACTCACAGAGATCCTCTTGCCTCTGCCTCCCAAGTGCTGGAATTAAAGGCGTGAGCCACCACTACCTGTTTTTTTTTCTTTTAAACTGATAAACTTGTCCTTAAGTTTTCTACGAAGTATGTTCAATTTTTTTTTTTGTTTTTTGAGACAGGGTTTCTCTGTAGCTTTAGAGCCTGTCCTGGAACTAGCTCTTGTAGACCAGGCTGGCCTCGAACCCACAGAGATCCTCCTGCCTCTGCCTCCCGAGTGCTGGGATTAAAGGCGTGCACCACCACCGTCCGGCTTTTAGTTATTTTTTTTATTCATGAGACTAAGAGCCTACAAAGGAATCCTGTGTTTCTGGTAACAATACATGCTAGGGAAGATCTAATACCTAGCAAAATGAATTTCTTGAATTTCTGTTTTGGCCAACTTCATGATATGAAAATATGCCAGTGACTTCCATTACCATTCACTTGATTCCCATTGAGATTTTTGTTACAGTTACCTTTTGATGTCTTCTATTAAAATATCTCTTGAAGACTGCTCCCAGATACCTGCTTCCAAGATAGAAGTACTTAGTCTCAAATTACTGGTAACATTAGTAGGAGATCCATGTGATGCCATCTGTATTGGCTGGATATATAATACACAACCTAGAATCACCTGAAAAGAGAGTCTTAATTGAGGAGTTGTCAAGATCAGATTGGTCTATGGGCATGTCTGTGAGGGGATTGTCCTGATTGTCAACTGATCCAGCCCACTACGGGCAGCACCCTTCCCTAGCTGGGTCCCAAAGTATGTAAGAGTGAGGAAAGCCAGCAAGTAGACACATTTCTTTCCCCTGACCTTGATTG